CATTCACAAAGCTTCTATACCTCAAATATAGTCCATCCATGTCCTTGTTCCAGAACTGTAACACCATTTTCATCAACCTCCATAACCAAAAAACAGAGTATGCAAGTTGACTTCTCCAAGCCATTCCAGCCATCCATTGCTCAAGCTAATCATTGTATTAGCTTCCTGGAAACTTGAGGAAGCTAACCTGATCATTGCAACACCTTGAATCAAGCTCATTTGCATTTCACGATTTCCAGTTTTGAGGTATCTTTTCTGAACTTCTATCTTTCATTTAGGCATTGTTAAGGTTATATTTGTGAAGATAAAATATAGATATCATTGCCCTGAAACTGTACATGTCCATAGATTTCATTTATATTGATTGAGCTTAGAGAATTTTAGGTTTGAATCTCTGAAAAAAGTTAGGTCAGAATTTGGTACTTTTAGAAATTCTCATTCATCTTTGATTTATAGCTTATGATATTTATATGGTTGGATTCGTATGGAAAAATGGAGCAACTTTCATGTTTACATCTTTCATTTTTATTGAGAAATGAGCAAGTTACAGGAACCATGGCTGAAGATTGAAGATGAAGTCATTTTCAAGACTTGTTTTATGTTATGTATTTATCATTTCACTTATGTTAACGGATGTACAGCCACCCCAGTGGCAACACAACGCGCGTTTCATGTCTAGGGCATGGGTTCAAGCCCCAGCGCTACCACTTTTCACATTTTTCACGTTTTCCTCCCTTTTTGTCACAATTAGGCGCGCATGGGCCTCCTATAGTGGGCCTTGTCATTTATGCTAACTTCTAACCTCTCCATTTATTTTTGCATACATGGTCCAAACATTTTTTTTATCATTTCATTTTAATTTTTTTTCTTTTTCTTATTTCATTTATTTATTATTTTTTATTACTATTATTATTATTATTATTATTATTATTTTTATTAATAAAAAATCCAAAAAAATATTTTTATTTATTATTTTCACACTTATTTATTTTCTTTATAAAGACAAAAGACAAAAATATTTTCTTAACAAATTTAATTTCTTTTTCTTAATAAATTAATAATAAAATTTAGTTTTAATTAATTTTCTTTTTTTATTTAAAATTAATTTAGAACTTAAGTTTCTTTTAATTAATTAATTACCATATTATTTTCATTAAGTTTAAACCCTTTAATAAAAAACCCTAAAAATGCTTTCTAACTTGATTTCTTTTCTTAATTAGTTTAAGTTTAATTTTATTTAATTTTTATTAATCACTTTCTTTATTAGGTCAAAACTAAACCCTTAACAAAAACAAAAAAAATCATTTCTTTTCCATTTATCTTCTTGTACATTATATTTTCAATTCTTGTACATTATTCAATATGGTTATAATAGATAATTAGGTTTAATTTTCTTGCAATCCCCATTTGTAAATTTGTATACCCCCTCCCCTAATAATGTAATAGCATAGTAATTTTACTTCCCGCAATTTATTGCTTTCATATAAATGTTAGTAATTAGGGTTTGTATGGCAAGACTAAAATCAACAAATAGTAAACCCTAATTCAAGATAAACAATGCATGTAAATCAAACACAATTTCACACTTGCACCCCTAGGGTTAACTCCACTTTGTTGTCTTACAAAAATGGTCATGTTATGCATGTGGAATGTCTTAGCAAAAACAATAAAAAATACAAGATCATAGTCCCTTGATGACGCTTCAAAAGTTGCCTTTCAAATGATCTTAGTCTCTCAAAGATAAATGCTAAGATATCTCACAACATTGCTATTATGATTATATGATGACCCAAGCCCGTCCTTTTACATCCAAAGATAAGGCTTCTTACCAATCAATGGTAAGATAGCAATATCAAAGGAAAGAAAGAAACAAACAAAAAACTTTTGAGAGGGTAGATTATTCCTAGTTGCTTGCTCACTTTCAAAACACACATCCTTGCTCATTTTCAAAACAAACACTAAACACTTTCAAAAACAAACTTCCAAAACATAAAATATTTTCAAAAGTCCAACACTTTGTATACGTTCTTACGAACGAGAATCATTACAAAGATTGCCTAAACGAAGGCGCCTTTTCAAAATGCTTTCAAAACCACCACAAAGCACATTTTCAAACAAAAGCAAGTGATCTAGCAAACAACTAAGAGTCCATAGATAACTATGAATGAAAAGGGTGTTAACGCCTTTCCTTTTCATAATCTACCCCCCGAACTCAAGAAATAATCTCAAAGGTCTTTCATATTCTTTTCCACCTCTTCTTTTGGATAAAAGAAAAGTCGGTGGCGACTCTTGCTAACCGCAACATTTGTGATCAAACGCAAAACATCCTAAGTCAGTTCTCTCACCGTATTACATATATGATACTTATAGATGGTATGTGGAGTATGATAACAAGATACAACAACTGTATTCAATCATTTAGTCCAACAAACTTAACAACTAACATTGCTAAAAGGGGAAAGCTTACAAGTAACAACTAACTACCAATATATAAAAGGAAAGTTAATCTTACAAGTTGTTGTGAATCTTGTTGTGAATTGCGATAAAATTAAATATCAATTTGTGAGGCAAAGAATAGTAGCAACCAAAATAAATGGTCTACATCAATAATAATTCGTACACAAATGATATAACAGAATAAGGCGAGAAAAAGATGAAGGTTTGTTTACCCAGTTCGATCAAACGATCTACTATGGGGGGGAGAGCAACTCTCCAATTCACTATACTCAGAAAGTTGTTACAAAAGATTACAAATGAGTTACAAGAAAATAGCATTTGCCTTCAGGTTCTAAGAACAACCCTGAATGTACCCAAGAATTACTCTATTTCCACCCAAGTATTTCTCAACCTCTTCAACCTTTCTAAGGTTATCCTTGAGAATAGCCAAAATCCTATGCTATGCCTTTAAATACCCTTGCTCTCCCTTGTTGCTATAAGCTATAAGACTGTCACACCTGCAAGCATATAATAGATACATATTTACAATAGCAAATACTCAACAAACAAAATTCAAAATTACAATCCAATCATACATGGATCCATGGATCAAACCGAAAAAGTCTGAAAACCCAAAATCATTATTCACCGTACGGACAATACTATTCACCGTACGAATAATTCTATTCATCAGTACGAACAACACTACTCTTCGTATGGACGATACTATTTATCGACCAATTTTTTTAATTTATTTTTTAGATTTCTATTTTTCGATTTTTCGTTCGACTTTCTAAAACTTCCGATTTTCTCGGTAAATGCAATCTCCAAAATATATTTTCTTTCTCTTCATCAACAAAGATTTTAAGGCACATTTACGCACAAGTTAGTTATTTGACATAACTAACTTGTAACTACTTTATCTAAGAAGTTGCAAGTGTCTCTCCATCCAAAATATGATAATACCATCAGTATTAGGGATGGCAAAAAACTCCGTACCCGCAGATAAAATCTGTCACAGATACAAGGCAAATAGCTTAATAAATATCCACAGATAAAATAAACGGATATTTAAATATTCGTTTAGTAATGGATACGAATACATGTTTAATGATATCATGCCTGCGGATATCCGTATTCGTTAATAAATTATAAGAATTACTTAAATATTAATTTATTAAACTATGTCTTCTCATCTTCTAAAAAACTAGTTTATTTTTTTTAAGTTTTCTTTGAAGAAAATGTTTAACATTCCATACAAATCATATTGGCTATTTCATATTTAACTTTTTTCTTTACTCCATACCTCACGTCAACAATTCCACATTCCAACCAACTATTTTTCATGTCTAACCGGTGCCTTCCTTTTTAATCCTTTGTTTTTCGTTCTTTCACCATAACTCACAATCACATTATCTTTCTTTTTTTTAATGAAATGTGTGGAAGTTATGTTTTGGTGAAAATGAATAAAATTAATGCGGTAATTTTTTTTTTTTTGGTTAAAATAATAGAGATTTGTATGGATCTTATGTGATAATAACTTATTGTGTCTTTAAAAGAAAATAGAAAATATTTTTTTTCAAAACAAAATTTAGAAAAACATGATATCTGTGGATATCTGTGAATATCCATGGATATCTAAAAACCAGCGGATCATCCGTTTAGCGGATATCCACACAGATATCAATATCATATTTATCCAACAGAACATACATATATCATATTATCCGTTCTCATAGATATCCATTTACATCTCTAATCAGCATAGAGAATACACGAAAGAAAATCATTGCGCCTCTAATGCCTTTTATAATACCAAGTGTATCATTCTCAATTAATTTGATTAAAGTTCTTCGACAAGGAAAAAAAGGAAGGGCGAAAGAGAGTTTTCTATTGCCTTACTCTTTCATTACAAGAAAAGTAATTTGTTTGATTATCATTTAAAGGACATTGATGTTTAGGAGTTCGAAGGGAAGGGAGATGAAAACTTTAAAAAGAGATGAGTAGAGAGAAAAATAGAATCATCGTTATTTTTTTAAGAAAAAACTTTTGTATAAATTGATAAATAAATATTTATTAATATATTTTAAATATTTAAATCATTATAACATATATTAGATTTGGAGAATTTATATAGAGATACAATAATATCCTTCGGTCTTACGATAGATATTTTCTTTTTAATTTTTATTTATCTCAAGTTATTTATCTCTTTAGAATATATATTTATTATTTAATTCCACTAATTTATTTTTATTTATTATATTTTAATTCATATAACTACTTTATTATCTATTTATTGTATTTTAGTAAATATGATTTTCGTTTTATCATTAAAATCAAATCTTACAAAATTATTAAATCAGGTAATTGTAACAAAAGTTACTCTAGAATCATATAAAGGAAAATACACCAAATTAAAATAAAACATGAGCTAAAATATGGAAAACAGATTCTATTCATAAAATAATAACAAATGCCCCCATAATTTATTGCAAACTAATAGCTTTTTGGTCTGATAATTATCGTAATCCATTCTAAAAAGAAAACAAAAGAACTTTGCTTCATGATTGAAACAAAGATCTCCCATCTCCAATATCCATTTTAGTGAGATGAATTTCTTGAGGAAGAAGATGGTACTTAATGCCATGAATCTCAAACATCTTTTTCATTTCCATGAGAAGTTCTGATATCCTAATGCTTCTTTCACCATAGTTTTGATGGTTAATGGTGTGTTGCACACCTAAACACAACTTTAATTTGTCCACTTGATCTATTTGTTTTGCCATCACAGTATGCTTTGGATTCCAATACTTTGGCTTGCTCTCAATGTACCTAATTGGTAGCAAAAAAAGTGTGTATAAAAAAACTAAGTTTCCTAATAATTAAGAAGTTGAATAAATAAAGAAAAATCTTACATTTGTATTGATTTCTTTAGTGCAATGATAGTCTCTATAGGAGTCGTAACATCAATGGTGAAATCGATTGAATCACGCATCTCGGGACTTCGATAAAAATTGCTTATAGGCTTAGTGAGTAAGACCGCATTAGGGTAGTAAATTTTCTCATTGTCATAACGAAGAAACACCGTTGTCAATATATTCATCTCTTCCACAATCATCTGTAATTAAGTAGTTTACAATTTAACTGAATATCCGATCTATATAATGTTCAAATATATTAATTATTCAATAAATATAAAAAGTATGATACGTACCTGAACACCATCAATTACGCAACGGTCTCCAATGTCGAAAGGGTGCATGATAAAGACAAAGATAATAGCTTCCAAGACAGTTTTGCAAGTGCCTTGAAAAGCAACTCCTATTAAAACTGTTTGTGTGATACAGAATAATATTATCTTGATTGTAGCCACTTCCATGACCAAAAGGGTCACTATTATTATTATCACACTTACAACTGCACTTGCTAATTTGTGAAGTTGTTGCACTGCTGTTTTTGTATCATTAAGTGATTGTGCTAGGGCTTTTCTTTCATAATAAGCTCGAATCTGATTAAAAATTTACTAACAACTAATTAATTATCAATAATAATAATTATTATTATATTACTAAATACTAATTAATTTACTTTTGAAAGCAAGACTTACCACCCAATTTCTAAATGAAGATCTGCTAATTTTTCCAGTTTCAAGAGCACCTTCAAAGAGTGGGAATATGGTATGTATCTCAACCCTCTTCAAATATCTCATGAGATCCACCTCTTCAATATACCTTAAATAAATTATTTCAGTTAGGATTCAAACTCGAATTCTACCGAATAACTTATTTATTTTTAATCTAAGTAAACTAGGTTTGAAACATGAACCCAGAGTGAATTTTCTGATCTTAATTAACTAAGAGACTATGAACGTTTTAATTTTTAATGTGGTAAATTCGAAAGTGTGACGAATTAGATACTTGATTAATTTCTTAGAATTTAGGGTTTAACTAAGTATATTTCATGAACCAAAAGGGATAAACTTGTACCTGCATGAATGACAAAAAAAATAGATCTTAAAAAATATAAAAGATTGATGATGCTTGGAGTATGGACCACAGAAAGAAATGGGGTTTATAATTTTAGTGAAAATTTATTAAATGACAAAGGTTTAAAAAAAAGGAATGGAATTACTGACACATGCAATATCTAATATATAAACCCTAAGTAATTGGATGGTAGGGTTGGACCAGGTTAAAAAAATGGTCAGAAAGCAATGCCAATGAACACTAAAATGCCATGATATGGACATATTGAGTAGAAAATTGAATATTGTATTATATATAGGCCACTGAATGTGCATTGAAAAAAAATAATTAAATGGAGCATGTGAAATAGGCTTGAAAGGGTAGTTATTTAAATAGGAGCTCATAGTAGCTATGATATTTTGGTGTAAAACCTTGTGGTCCAAACTCCAAACCAAGCCTTTACAGATAGGGTGATCATAATTCTTATGAAAATAGCTTTAGTTGGGAATGCATTATTGGTTTGTGAAGGACACACACATAGTGCATATGAGGTGGTTTGTGTTTTTGAGGCTGCAAGTTTAGTTGGCAAGCTCATCTCTGCACTCGGTGCTCTATATCTTTTCACCTCTTGTTTATGGATTAAAGGATTAATAATTTAGAATATTTTTAAAAAGTTTATATTAGACAAACTCTTTGTATATATTTAGTTTTTAGGAATAATTATGAAAAGAGTGAGATGTTCCTTATCACTACTTTTGTTTTATTTTTTATTGTTTTATTTGGTTACTTATTCGAATATTCATGGTGCTCTTCATGCTCTACCATCTTCAATTTATCATATTTTGTCATAAAAATTGAATTAAGAACAAAATCATTTAAAAAAAAAACTTAATCCAAATCTCCATGAAAAATAAAAGTAGAAAAGAAATTTAACATTTTTGCATTAATAGTAAAAACTTACTTGGCACCAGGTTTAGCAACATTGTTAAAAATCTTCTGAGCACAACTTCTAGCTTCCCATTCACTACTAATCTCACTCTCTTTATGCCCAAAATCATCAACAGTCCTAGAAATAGTCGACAAACCAGAAGACCTAACATAATTAACAAGTCTCTTAACACTCCAAACCGAACCACCACTCTCCATACTAAGTTTCCTCAGCTTCTCCATATCAATCCTCCTTGACCCAAATCTCTTCATCTTCTTCCACCTCCCTGCCCCCACCGGCATCGTCTTCGACCCCATCAAATGATGCTCTTTCGATATCTCCTCCCCGTATTCCATCGGCGGACCCGACAACGCGTCCAACACATAATGATGAAAAACACTTTCTTTCATTCTATCAAAATATGTTGTCACATGAAAAGATGAAGCTAGCATTTTCACCAAAACAATTTTCACTAGCCAAATTGTTGCACCTATTAAAACAGCAACTAGTGCTTGAAACATTTTGTTGAGGAATTTATGGTTTTTCTTTTGGACATCATCGAAAACTACACTCCAATAGGACAATAAAACAAGACCTAACCATAGACAATTACGAATGCTGTTTCTTAAACCGTAGATGAAGTATAAAACTTTTTCTCTTAGCATGAAGTTTCTTTCTATGATGAGAACGGTAAAACTAACTAACCAACTTGAAAATAAACGGCCACTAAATGTTACCATTGCCATTAAACACCATCTCCAAACTTCTAACCCTAGTAAATGCATGTTTTTTATTTTTTTTATTACTAGAGAACAAACCAAGCATGTTAAGATGTTTATAAATAGTATCCATTCAAAAACTAGCCTCCACTTCACCTTAAACTTTTTCTTTTTGTTTAACTTTGGATCTTCTTCTTCTTCTTCTTCTGATTCTTGTTCCTTCCATTCATAGTCGTCTTCTTCGTCGGAAGAGACTTTGTAGGAAGGTAGTTGAGTGTCTTGTTCTTCAAAGGTAGGTAGTTTGTTGCGAGGTGTATGATTGTATTCAAAGATTCTAGATTTGGGTTTGGAGAAGCTTAGACGGCTAAGAGTTTTGACTCTTGAGGGGTGTTTGGGTTTCTCATGATGAGGTTCGGTGGTGTTGTGGTGAGTTTCAGTGTCCATTGCTGAAGGTTTAGGGTTTTCTTGTTGGTCAAGGAAGAGAACAACTTGATCTGTGGATTTTGGGTTCTCCATTTTAGTTGTATTGTGGGATAAGAGACATGAGAGAGGAGCTAGCTAGACGTGAGTTTTGAAATGGTATGAGAGAAAGATACTTATATTCTTTTGGTGACACTATTAAATACTCTAGTCTCGCGTCCCTTAATAACACATTTGTATATAAAATTCTGTTAGAAGGTAGATAACAAAAGTACACAATGGTGAGGTTTTTGGTTTGAATGATGTTGATGTTTTACTTAACAATATTTATTCTTATTAATTAAATTAGAACTTTCGGACAATATCCTTCGCCATAAAATAACACCAACGACACCTTGGGGCGAGGTTCAGTCCATCGACATTCCGATCAACCGAGGACATTAGCCTCTTAGACGTTCGTGGAAATTGGTCGATGGACACTTTTAGATTTGCAAATTGGGATTTTTCGAGTCTGATATTTCACCTCAGCCGAGGAACAATATGGGTATACCCTCGCCAAGTGTGTCTCCAAGTGGATCTCGTGAAATTCAAGTCAAAGTTCATCGTAAACCCAGTCAAGAGCAGAAAACACCAATTTCGGAAGATGTGGTAGAACGCATACTACCATGGCCGGTTAACACTGGATATGTCATCATCATAAAAGTCTCACGACAGATATCTCGTCATCGTAACGACAAGCGCCCGATCCTGGATAATCAGAGGCTACGCGACTGCAAAATCTTAAGGTAGTTGCAAGATGAGGGGAATTCCCAGACGTGGGGTAATTCAGGAGATCGAGTGGCCAAACAAACACTCAACGATGGAGTAAGGAAGGGCCACATGACCTCCATCAGCTTGAAAATTCTCCAACTATGTTCCAAAGGAAATATTAGAAGGGTCGTCGGTGTGTGACTTAGAGAGAAGGGTGGTCCGCGTCTGATGGAGCATGTTGGAGAGTAACTACCCAGGAAACTCTGCATGACACGAAGTCGAAGGAGCATCAAAGGGATGTTGCACTCAACAAGTGTCAATCCAAATCCCCTCGACATCAGGGCAGATAAGCACCCTTCCAAATAGGGTATGGCTGTAGAGACTCCCGTCTACCTCAACCTGGATACACTATGTCAAATAAGACATTAGACAACGCTTTTTTTAGCTTTTAACAGCGCTTAAAAGGGCTGCCTAAAGTAGCGCTGCTAAAAGTAAAGACGACGCTTTTTTTCAATGTAAAAGCGTTGTTTTATGCCCACTTTAGTCAGCACTTTTACATTAAAAATGCTTTCTTATGTACCCCCTTTAGACAATGTTTTTAAAATAGACAACGCTTTTTTATATACCCCTTTAGCAGCGCTTTTGCTTTAGACAGTGCTTTATGTTATTTTTTAAGTTAGGCTTTAGAAAACGCTTTTTCTTTAAAAGCGTTGTCTATTCCCCCACTTTCGACAGCGCTTTCCCACTTTAAGCAGCGCTTTTTTTGACTTTTTACAGCGCTTTTCTCTTAAAGCACTGTCTATTGATCACAATTTTTTTTAAATAAAATATCTATTTTGAATTACAAAAGCACTGTCCAATATATGTAATGCATTTTAATTAGATTTTAACCATATTTGAACCTGTTTTCCCACCATATTATGCATCATATTTGGTAGCTTCATTCCACTAAAATATGCATATGTAAAAATTCCACATATATATAAATTGATGATATATACAACAACAACTACAAAATTTATGATACAAGTTAAAATTCTACAAGTTGAAAATCCTAAAATTCAAATTGATGTTACATCTACATCTTACTATCTTCTAGAATTCTCATAAAACAACAACAACATGAATATCTTAGTTCTATCTTCTACACATGCACCTATAAACCTGGAAAAAAATGATCGAAATTCATTACATGATAATATTAATGTTGCACTTTATTCGAATTTAATTTATACTCAAAATTTGAAAGTTCTCATCAAAGAATATAAAACAATATACCTTAGCTTATAAAATTCTCAACCCGATAATGAATTGACACCATTCCTCCATAAGTTTATCCAATTGATCTTTTGAGTAATGTGCACAATTGAATTCCTCAAAGTACTACATATATAATAATATAACATAGTATGTGATTTAGTTAAAAAAATATGTCATTTTATGAGAATCACAAAATATGAAAATAGTATGTAATTCCTAAGTTAGAAATCCATATCGTGGATGGAATCTCTAATCGATCCAAAAGAATAGTTTCTTTCATAAACCTCAACATGAAATAGCCGCAATCTATACTGTTACACTGGCGAGGACACTACACATGAAAAGAAAATATGAATATATATATCAGGATATACCCCTTAAATTGTTTTATCAAGTATCATCACTAATGTAATCAAAATTGAATATCTCTTTGTGAAAATATACCTCCACTCTGATCCATTTAACATTGTTGCCTCTACTTGTTGGCACTTGAATATCTCTATAGTAGAAACAATACTGATTCTAATCGTTTTGTGAAAAGAGAAACAATACTGATTCTAATTTTTAATTTCTAATTATGACTTTAGGCAGCTCTTTTGAGAAAGCGCTGGCTAATATGGGCCTTTAGCAGCGCTTTTGAAAAGCCCTGGCTAATGTGGTCCTTTAGCAGCGCTTTTGAGATTTATTTATTTATTTTAAATTTATGACTTTAGACAGCGCTTTTGAACAGCGCTGTCTAAAGTGGTCCTTTACCAACGTTTTTTATAAAGCGTTTTCTAAAGCAACACTTTTAGCAGCGCTTTTGAAAAGCGTTGTCTAAGGTCACATTTTTAGCAGCACTTTTATTTATTACTTTATACAGTTTCTGTGTGTTTCTTTTAAATTTACTTATAGAAGCGCTTTTGTATAAAAGCCCTGTCTAATATGCAATGTTAAAAGCCCTTTTGGCGTAGTGATACTAGAGTCAAGTACGCACAACAGAAGCAGAATACATCCAAGCCAAGGGCTCGATCCTCCAAATCTATCGACCATCAAGCCACTCGGACTACGCGTCCGATGGAGCCCTTAATATACACTTTCGGTCGACCACAAGATTTTGTTAATGTATTTGTATATTAATTATATAATAGTGATATATATATATATATATATATATATATATATATATATATATATATATATATATATATATATATATATATATATATATATATATATATATATATATATATATATATATATATATATATATATATATATATATATATATATATATATATATATATATATATATATATATATATATATATATATATATATATATATATATATATATATATATATATATATATATATATATATATATATATATATATATTACTTTTATTGTTATGATTTATGTCTTGTCCCCTCTCTAGAGCACTAAAACTTTGAATCCACATAGTAAGGAATTTGGAAACAACCAATGCAGCTAATGCATGTCTTAAGGATCCAGGGATGCAGTCGGAGACGCTTTGACCATTCACTACAACAATCAACACCGCTGACAATTTGCCTACATAAATACTCAGGGGTGTTGTAGGAGACGCTTTACACGTCCAACTTTAATAATCATTTCCCACAGTGCCTCGTGCGCCTTAAGAATCAGGGATGTTATCAGAAACACTTAGTACGCCCGATTATAACAACCAATTTCCCCAGGGGTGCTATCAGAGATACTTTGCAAGTCCGAATACAGCATTCAAATACTTTATGTCAAAGAATCACACGCTTTCATCACTACGCCATATAAGGGAATATACAACGTTTTTTTTTGTCATAGATAGCGCTTATAAGCATTGCCTATTCTTAGGTTGCTGTAACCATAGACAACGGTTTTTATCTTTGTGAAAATCCGTCTTAATATAGACTTTAGACAATGTTTATTGAATAAGCGCTTTCTAAAGGCCCCTATAGGCAGCGTTAACATTATAAGCGCTTTATATAGTGTGCGTATAGCGACTCTTTCACTTTAGACAGCGCTTTAGAAAGCATTGTGTAATGTATTTTTTTTCTCTTTTTTTATATTTTAGACAACACTTTATTTTGAAGCGCTTTCTAAAGTCCCCTTTAAGGAAACGCTTGTTATTTCACAAGCGCTTTCTATTCTCCATCATAGGCAACACTTTTTGGTTTAAAGCGCTGTCTAATATTCACAGATTTTTTAATATATTCAGTTTATATTTTAAGCGTCCTGTACACATAATCACTTAAAATTTAAGCGTTGTCTTTAAAATTTGCACAAGATTTTATAAATTTGAAGCTTCAATCCAATAAGCATACACCAAATTTACATATTTATATGTACAATTTTAATCCAACAATTTATATATACATAAATGGGATACAACTTAAAGAATTCAATAATTTATATATACATAAATTTAATATTTACATATACAGCTTTATAAATCAATAAATATGCACCAAATGTACATATTGTTATCTTCTAGAGCTGCTATATTCTCTACTATCTTCTCTACAAACAACAACAATGAAGAATCCTAAATGAATCTATATATCTTTTACATATGCACCTACCTGAAACAAAATCAACAAAGGCATATATATCAGAACCAAGCTATATATATATAACACTTAAATCTTATAACTATTATAATTTAATACGAATCAATGTAACAAAAACAAATCAAGAATCTGTTGTAACCCACCATTAAAAATTCCCCGATTCATACCATGATACAAACAAAATTTTGTTTGAATTTAAATCCAATACCATCCTAACTAACCTTCCACATAACAACAACAATATTGCAACAATTTACCACACTATGACGGTATATATCTCTCAAAACTCAAACTTATATATACTCAAAATTCTCATCAATGAAAGTGTCACAATACCTTATAAAATTCTCATCTCAATAATGTATTGACACCAATCCTCCTTAATTTCGTCCAAATGATCTTTCGAATAAGTAGGAGACTTGTATTCATCAAAGTACTACATAATATAACATAATATGATTTAGTTAAAACTAATTAATTATATGAAATGTGTTAAATATATTAAAATAAATCATAAG